GATAATTGCGGAACTTATATGTGGCCATCTACTCGCCAATATACTGTTGAACTGTTCAAATAAGACATTTACCTGGAACATGTAGTTTTTAAACTAATGAGAATAACTCACATTTGAGTGAGTCAGGTTAGTATCGTACTTGAACAACGTATTAATGAATAGATGACTGCGGAACTCGCTGCGCTCGTCCCGCAGAGGTCCACCCATAAATTCCGCAACAATCCATTCGTTTGTACTTCAATAACTTGTCACATTATGTTACTAGTTTGGTAAAGTAACATTGCTAATTTCTGTTTAAAGGCAAATTGACAAAAAGTAGATAGTCTTACAAATTCTGACTTTATATAATAAGTTATTGTTCAAGTACATGGTGTTTTTTTATATATTGACACTCCACCTACAGACTTCACATAGGCGGTTCTAGGTGGGGGCTTGGGGGGGCTAAGCCCCCCCAAATTTAAATTAGTGATGAGTGGCAAAAGTTCGCAGTCCGTGAATAAAAAATATTCATTAACTACCTACATAATTTCAATAATTTCACTAATTTAATAGGTAGCTTTATCTAATTATTTCATAAAATTTTATTCAATTATTTCATAAATATCCGTCTGGAAACAGAGGCAACCCTAGCCCCCACCAGGGTTGCCTCTGTTACCTGTAGGTGTGTGTTATAAGTAGGAGCAGCCAAAGTTAACGCGCTGCTCTGCTTTGATCTGCCATTATGACCGTGTGCACCGAAAATTTCAAGGAAGGTTTAACGATAATCAAGGCTTAAAGTGACATTTATGCATGTAAAAATGTCACTTTAAGCGTTGATTATCTTTAAATTTCCCTTAAAATCGTCGGTGCAAACGGCAATAAGCGGTATTGTTTAGATACGATGTTAATCTTTAGCAACGTTGGAAACCTTTGGAATGGAGACGTTGTAAAACTTGTGTTTTTGTTCGGGTTGATTCACAGTTGGATATTATTTTTTGCTTTGTTGTTTGGTTTGTTTGGTTGTTTCGGTTGTAGTTTCGAATCCCACTGATGTCAAACTGTCAAACATTTTTAACTTCAACTCTTTTTCTGTTAAAAGTAGGAAGTAGGTTTTTGTTTTTTTTTATCACCTTTATTTGTACCTACCTCAGAATACTTTTATTTTATGTAGAACAAAACAATCATGTTACCAGGGCCGTAGCGATATGACTATCCCTAGGGGGGGAGACTGAGATTCGGCACCCCCTTAGCGCCGCGAAGGCAATCCAAAGGTGAAGAAAAATTTATTGGTGACCACACCCAAATTTTGCCAATTTTAAGTAAATATTGGTATAATTTCATTCAATGAAAAATTAGATCAAAATGTTGTATCACTAAGTGCGGGTATTATAAAACTATTCTGACTTATAATTCAAAGTTAACTTTTGGAATTACAATGAGAAGTAACGTCATTTCTGTCATTTCTGAAGATATCTTTCAGTTATTCTGTCAAAATAGTTTTATAATAGGCAATTTTTCGTGAGGATAACCAAGCACAATCTTTTGCTGGATTATGTGATGTGTCATTTGTGTCATACTGCTCTAACTCCCCTACCATCAAATTCTGGGATACTCGAGGATCAAGAACACTTAATTTCTTCTGTGAGAACAAACCGAAAATCACTTTTCTACATTTGAAATTGACGAAAAAATTAACTCACTAGCACAGCCTGAATCGCAAGCATTCCATCCGGGTCTGCGGGTGACGTCATCATTATAAGCTGCTGGTAGTGACGTCACTCGCAGGCTCAGAATTTGATGGAGAGGGAGTTAGGGGAGTATGACACAATTGACATATCACCATTATCCAGCATACTCCAGTATGCTTGATTATCCTCGCAAAATATTGCCTAATATTCGCCCTAAAAACCTAACTTATGTATTGAATGAGACTTTATCTATTGCCAATTCGATTTCCTGATTCTCTTAGATAGTTTCAGGTGAAAATAATGAAGTGTATATTGTAGATTTTCAAAATAAAATCACCAAACTTTTTGAATGTTTATTTTGATTCAATTTCTTTGCACTTTGCCTATTTTGGCGCCCCTTTGCCAGCTGCGCCCTGGGGGGTAGGCTCCCCCGTCTCCCCCCTGTTGGCTACGCCCCTGCATGTTACTTGTAAACAAAATTTTTTTTGTATGAAACTTTTGTATTTTTCATAAATAAATAAAAATAATTTTGACTAAATATTTATTAAAATATAAGGTATTTGGGCGTGGCAGCCAAAAAAAACGCCTGCAGGGGAGCGACCGCGGAGCAGGGGCTTCAGCCCCCCCAGCACAGATGGGCTAGAACCGCCTATGAGCCTTCACCTTTACAAGTAGATGAAAGGTGTAAATACAAAAGTTGTACAGTATTGGCTAAATTTATAGAATATAGAATCCATGGTCAGAAACAAAAATTGAATGTCAGAAATGTGAAATGTTACATGCTTTCAGCTTTTTTCAAATGGCATGCCCTCTATATTTGGTTCTATATTCTTGAAGAGCACAATTTCTCGATTCCAAAACTATATAGTTTGTCTGTATTTGGTTGAGCCGTTTCCAACATATTTGGTTCTAAAAATTTCAAAAATACTATCAGAGAAACCAAGTATACCTCAAATTTTACCTATAGCTTTTGCCTGTACAGGAAGAATGGTTGGCAAAATTAGTAGTAGGATAGTATTTTTACAATTTTTGGAACTGAATATATAAGAGACTGTTCAATCAAATATAGACCAACTATATATTTTTGGAATCGGGGTATTGTGTTCTTCAAGAATATAGAATGCAATATAGGGCATCCCATTTGAAAAAAGCTAGAAGTATGCAAAATTTCACATTTCTGACATTCAAATTTTGTTTCAGACTATGGTTTCTAAAAATTCAGCCAAAATAACTTTTGTAACTACACCTTTTTTCTACCTGTAAAGATAAAGGCTGTAGGTGGGGTGTCAATATGTAAAAAAAACACCCTGTAAATTCTAGAAACTCGGTTAATACGGAGTATGGTCGTGCATACCTCGGATAATCAGGATTTTTGGGTCTCTAGACTGATGGCTCGGTTAATCCAGAACTCGGATAATCGGGGTTCTACTGTATTTATGAAAACATAGGACCTGACAATTATTTTCAGCATTCTTCCGAAACAGTACACCGTGACACTTTGGAGATGAATATAATTTGAGAACCCATGATTAAGTCCAGTAATATTCAAGTTTAGAGTAGTTTTGTGTTCTTAATAAGTTCAATTTTGGATCAAATTAATAGGAGATACCACAATAAATCTGACAAAGTTGCAGTGGTAGAGGACGCCTCTGGGCCATTTCCATTCAAACAAATCTAAAATCTACAATTTTTGATGATATTGGCTACCTCATGTAGCTTACCGGATTGGGCTAATGAACATTAACTACGCACTAAACTGAGTATTTTCGTACATCAAACAAACTTATGGAAAACTAGAAATACAACCCTGGTGGTGATTATTATTAGAAAATCAGTTGTAAAATCTAAAATCGATGTTTTTATTATTAACCCACCCAAGTACAAAGAGTTTTTGTTGCATAATTTCTGTGGTGATGTTTTGAGTCTATTTACTAATTGTTTTATGTTGTTTCCCATACATCTGATAGTCTTTTTGTTTCTCTCTCTTAAGTATCAAAATTTACAGAAGAAAATTGCAATTATGAAGTCCAAAATCCTTACGTTTTGTACAAATAGCGGATTTTTGAGCAAAAACTCTCCTGATCTATAGTTGTGAAAACCCAAAATAATTATAATTTTATTACAGTTTTGCAGATAAGAATTTCCTTTCATATTATGTGGTATTATTAGTTGAATTTAAATATTCTACAGAGAAAGTTGTTTTTTCTGTTAAATTTATCCAAACCTGTGAGTTCCTTTTGACAGTTAGCTAAATCTGCCTAATTACAACTTCAAACATGAATATAAAAAAAATCGAATTAAAAACAAAAAAATTTCGTACCATAATAACATCCAAACTTCCTAAATCCGTTTCTGGTAATTGGGTCTGGGATCATGTTTCATTGGTCGCATAAAATATTTATTTAACGACTTGAGTCAGCGTTGCTTTTTTGTTTTTATCTAAAAGTATCAAGGGTTTGGAAAACAATTGCCTGAAAATAAACTGGAGGCTTAAAGTTACCATTATTGCACCGGCCGGCGTCCTGTAACGTCAGTAAGTCGTCGTTAGTGCAGTCAGTCGGTCAATCTTTGATTATTGAAATTTATTAACATTATTTTTGTCCAGACAAAATTAATTATAATAAATTTACAAGAAAAAAAACTGTTGAAGTTTGTGAGATTTTTGTTTTTGCTTGTAAGTATTGAGTTGACTAATTAATGTGGTTTAGGTGTGTTGATGAAAATTTTAATTGTTAAACCAAAAATTTAGAAATTTGTTGTCTTATTGAAACCATTATTTATACGTACTGTTTTGGTTTAGTTTAATTGTTAAGACAGACATAAATGTTAAACTGATGGAATAATGAAGAACTGAAGAAAGAAGACTGGATATTTTAATAATGCAATCATCATTTTAAAACTTTTACTTTGTTCAAACTTTGCTTTACTTATGCTTTTGAGTTTATGCTTGTTTGGAATCAATCAGTCAAGATGATTGCTTATCTAAATGAAGAAAAAACCTGAACAATTCAATCGATTAAGCCAGAATCATTAGAATTTATTAATTAAAATGTGAAACAAAATGTAAGTAACGGAACATATTATAACATGTATACTATTTGTAGAAATTATGTTCTTTGAAACCTACCTATAAATTATTGAAGAGCAACTCTCATATTAAGAGTTTGGCACAAATATGAGCGGATCATTTTTGGCTCCTTGCAACTTTTTTTCTTATACTAAACCATTTCGTCCACCACTTTGCTTTATATGTTTAAATAATATTAGAAATAAGTCCACTCATGTTTGTGAAAGCTCTTAATTAACTAAAACTGGTGTTTTTTTTCTTTGCAGGAGCCCAAAACCAAAGGCAAGCAAAAGTTGACGGCGAAAAGTGCCCAAGAGGAACCGAGTCAGGGTGCTGAGGATTCAGCTGGACAAGCAGTAGTTTGTGTTGAAGACGAAACTGAAGGTGAAGGAGGAACGTCGCCCAAGAAGAAAAAAGACGACAAAACATCAGCTAAAAAACTTGAGGTAAACATTTTTTCTTGTACTTGAATCATTAGGTTTGTTCCAACCCGTGAAAAAACCGTCCCAGAACGGTTTCGGAATTACTCTAAATACGAATTTCGGCTTCTACGCAAAAATTTTAGGTTTTGCGCAGAATCCTGACCGTAATGTTACGGTTTCCTGCTAGGTTGGAACAAAGCTATAATGATGAATATCTTCACACAAAAAATGTATAAATTGTAGGTGATAATATATCTTTGTCTATAATTCATACCACAGTTAAAATGAGAATTAATTTTACTACAATAGTTTTTTTAAAATTTTATTCGGTATAGGTAATCCGTCACACAATGAAATGGAAGAGATGTTTTTTTTAATTTGCGGTGAAGTAATCTTTTCATTTACTAATTTCAATAGTAATTTAGAATTCAATTAAAATATAATTTACATACATGCATAGATATACCTACGTTTTACATTTTGCTTCTAGATTTTAATACTAATTTTTGAACAGAACTAAACTCCTAATTTTAATCATCATTGTTGAACATACATAGGTCTTCTCTAAAATTTTCAAGTTTTCTCTGTTCTGAGCAGTTGAGATCCAATTTGATGAGATTATTTTAAGGTTGTCTGTCTAGCGGTCTTCCTCGGCTTCTTTTGTCGGCTCTTGGTCTTCACTCAAAAGAGTTTTTTCGTCCATCTTCCGTCCTCAAATCTTGTAACGTGGCCTTGTCTTTTTCCACTTTTCTTTTGTGATACATTCTGCAATATTGTCCATTATTCCTTATGTGGTGTCTGTGTTTTGGAAAATACAAATTATGTTTGTACGAATGGGTTGAGTAATCTGAATATCTGACTTATATAGGGGTCGCACAATTACTGTTAGACTGATGACCGGTAAGCATCACTCTCAAGATTTGTAATTAATTTGTCGTGTTAAAGTGATTAATATATGAGTTAAAACATTAATATATACAATACTCATCAATTCGTATGTTTGGTTTTCTCTGTGAATTCTCATCTCATGAGCCAGATATACGTACCACTTTTCGACTATTTTTATGTTATTATTGTCTATCTGTATCTGCTTACTGGGAACCAGATTAGTCAATAATTTTGGTTTTGGAAAAGTTCATTTTAGGCCCACTTCTTGCGTGGAATTTTGAAGTTCCTGGAGCATTTCTTTAGCTTCGCCCAGACTGTCTGATATTAGGACAATATCATCTGCAAAGCGAAGATTATTGAGACTTTCCTCATCGATGATTATTGCTTTTCGCTCCCAAGGCAATTTCTTAAAAGTATATGTTTGCACTGAGATGAACAAACAGCTTGGGTGACATAGTTTCACCCTGTCGGATTCCTCTTTTAATTTCAATTTTTCTGGTGGTGGAGTGAAGATTCACGGGGATCGTCGCGTTTCAGTATACATATATGTTTTATAATTTCGTAATATCAGTGATCAACTCAACTTTCTTTGTAGTGATCTCAAGATTGCAGGAAGTTCTACAGTGTCGAACGCCAATACCAAAGGACTGTTGTATTCAATACTCTTTTCTATGAGGGGTTTGAGACACTGAAAGTGATCGTTGTTACGTTATCGAACTCAGAACGGAAACCAGCCTGTTCTTGGGTTAGTCTAGTCGATTTATTATTATGCAAGTATATAATTTGTATAGGTGTGTAAGGGATTCGAAATATCCCAAATAAAACGAGATAATTTAAATAATGAATGGTTTAATGTTTACGTAAATTTGGATTCAAGAAGAATAGAAAAACACAGGCAACCGAGTAAAAGCTCATGCGACGACTGTCTTCAGGTAAAATTCGTACCCTCGTACCCTGGCCCTTCTGGTTTCCCTGTTACCCTACCTATTTTTCGTCCTCGGAAAATTCTTCGTTAATTCTACAAAAAAAAAAATAAGACAAAATTAAAATAGAAATCAATTATGCCCTAAATTAAGCTGTGCACATTGCACGTCGCAATGTTCAGTCAGCCTCAGAACTATCTTTTATCAGTCTCCGAAGCAACGTTTGCTTCATCAAGCTGATCTTCGTCAGATTCCGTATCACTGCTACTAGCGTGCGTGGCAGTATACGGTTTTAGCTTGTCTACAGAGCACACGCCTCGATATTTTTTTTGAGTACGCCTCGAGCCCTGAAGATCTTCTACAAGGTACCTATCGAAATCGAGTACTTTAGTCACGACATACGGACCATTGTACTTAGGAAGCAGCTTTTTACTGGTGCCTTCGTTGGCAAACCCACTCCTTCGTAGGAGTACTTGACTGCCTTCCTCGTAGATTATAGGCTTCTTTCGTTTGGCATCGTAGTATGCCTTCTGCTTCGTTTGTGCAGCCACTACTTGTTTTTGAGCATCATCTCGCATCTTACTCACCTTCTGGCCGTTATGATCGTGTTGCTAGATTTCGTTGGTGAGAAATGCGTCGCTCATTCCTCTGGGTTTGAACCCAAACAGAAGTTCGTGTGGGCTTTTACCCGTAGCGCTCTGCACTAAAGAATTGAGTCCAAATCGTATGGAATCGATCGTTTGATCCCACTTCCTCTCGTCATCAGCCGTTGCTGATAGGGAAGCCAGAATCGTGCGATTATATCGTTCCACTTGCCCGTTGGCTCGTGGTGTCGCAGTTGCATTAAGTACCACCTTGATACCATGCTTTTTCGTAAATTCTTGGAACAATTTACTGGTGTAACACGTTCCACGATCACATATTATTCGTCTTGGTGTTCCAAATGTTTTGAAGATTTCCTCGCAAAACTTTACTAGAGTAGTATTGGCAACAGCTTTAATCCAAACATACTTCGTAAATCCGTCAACAGCAAGTATTAGGTAACAATTTCCCTTGGAACTTTTCACAAACGGTCCTAGATGATCAAAATGAATTGTATCCATAGGTACTGGCTCTCTTCTGATCGGATGTAGGAAACCTTCTTGTTTTCCGGTGGGCGTTTTGTTATACAAACATTCCAAACAGGAAGATATGTATCGTTGTACATATTTCCGTATTCTTGGGAACCAATAGTATTCACTTATTGCTTTGAGAGTCTTTTCTGTAGCTAAGTGTCCTCTTTTGTCATGGTAATATGATAATATGGCTCGTCTTGCACGTTTAGGCACGTACCACTTCAATCCATGGTCCGTCGTTCTGAAAAGACGTCGATCTTTTATGACATATTCCTTATGTATGCATTTTTCATCAGCCTCCGTAGGTTTTCTAGCTAAAATATCCATCAAATTTTTGCAACGTTCATCTTGTAGTTGAGCTGATAAAATCCAATCCTCGTCTGTTACATTGACTGCTAGAATTTCGGTAGCCAAGGTTTCACTTTGTGTTTCGATTGGGTTTCTGCTCAATGCATCTACGTGAGCCATTTTCGTTCCAGGCCGATATTCTACAATGAAGTTGAATTCCTGTGTAATCAACCACCAGCGAGCTATTCTAGGTATCAGATCACGCTTGGTCATGGAAGTTCGTAGAGAATTGCAGTCTGTCACCACTTTAAACTCAATACCTATTAGGTACACTCTGAACCTCTGCAGACAGCATATAACCGCCAACGTTTCCAATTCATAAGAATGATAGTTCTGTTCCTGTTTTGTTGTTTGTCTACTATAAAACATAACTGGTTTCAAATTTCCATCTTCTTGCCATTGTAGCAAAATACCTCCCAGGCTTCGACTTGAAGCGTCGGTATGGAGTTCAGTCTGTAGCTGTGGGTTGTAAATGGCTAGAATAGGTCTCTTTGTTAAATGGTCCTTGAGAAGTTGGAAAGATTGTTGTTGTTCTTCTTCCCACGTGAAAGCCTCGTTTTTCTTTGTTAATGGACGCGCTATTTGGGCAAAATTTTTGACATATTTTCTAAAATAGCTTGCGAGTCCTATAAACTGGCGAACTTCGTGCGCATTTCTTGGAGTTGGAAACTGTTCCACTGCTTTCGTTTTCTCCGACCCAGGACGAATTCCTGCAGCACTAATTTCATGCCCCAAATAATTAATTTCGTTTTTAAAAAAATGACATTTATTCAACTTGAATGTTCCTCCAAATATTCTAAATGCTTCAAAAATCTCTTCCAAGCCAGAATCAAAATTGGAACTTGGCACGAGAATGTCATCTAGATAAGCTAATGCAGTTATATGATTAACCGTCGCTAGAATTTGGTTAACCGTTCTTTGGAACATAGCGGAAGCGTTCACCAATCCAAATGGCATACGCAAATATTCGTACTGCCCATCCGGAGTAACGAATGCTGTTTTCTGTCGTGACTTCTTAGATATGGGAATTTGATGATACCCACTGGCCATGTCAAGAGAAGTGAAGTACCTGGCGTTTGACAGCATTTCCAGATGATCATCGGGTCTTCTCATGGGATAACAGTCTTTAACACATTTCGCGTTCATAGTTCTGTAATCGACGCACATGCGTATTACTCCATTTTTCTTTTTGACAAGAACTATTGGGCTGGAATACGGTGAATTTGACTCCTGGATAATACCGTTGTCAAGCAAATCATCAACCATTTCTTTTACACGTTGTCGTTCTGAGAATGAAAGCCGATAAGGTCTGTACGTCACAGGCTTATCGTCTTTCAATAAAATATCCATTTCAACACCCTTTATGCATCCCAATTCTTTCATGTTTTGAACAAAGCAATCACGATATTGATTAAGAGTGTTGAGCAGCATTTTCGTATTATGCTCTCCAATATCGTGGTTGACTTGATCATGAATATCATTCAACGTACATAAATCTAAACTAGATTTGTACAATGTATTGATGCTTACCTGGCAATCACTACTACCTAATGCGTCATCAGGTACACAAGGAGTTGCTCTGGTAACTAACTGGTTCTCGTTGAAGCTTATTGTCTCTTGTGACAAATTAACAATTGGCACCAGTGCTGAATCAGTGGAAGTGATGCATCGAGGAATAATATATTCCCCATGAGGTTTGAAGCACTGACGTAGGTCTACAAACATTTCACCATTATAGTCTCCACTTGGA